AAATAAAAATAAAAAACAACTTTATTTTGTTATAGTTGATTGAATTTGATAAATACTAGATACTACAATTAAACTTAATTTATCGCGTGACGATAGTTTAACTCACTACATTATTATTTGTCAACGATCTCGTACACTTGCAAAATTTTATTGAACAATGATTTTCAATGATAATCACACGGTGAGCTTTTATTGCTGAGCTCCTGTTTGTGCTACATTTTATCAAAAATGCATTTTTTTCTTTCATTTTTTTAATCACAAATTATTCGATATAATAATATATTCTCTTTTAACCACACATTCTTTAAAAAAAATTTCATTCCAAAATACATTTTTCCAAAAATATATGGGAAAAATTCACAAACCAGACATTATGTATGGGCAATTCAATTTTAAGGATTTAAGTTTAAAAATGTAAAACATGTATTAACTAATTAATTAAAAATAATTTATTAATTAAATATATTAAGGTCACAATTATACAATTAATGATCACATGTGCGTACATATAGGTCACGCCACATACTATCAATTAATTGGTCACAGATTATTTTATGGTCACAATAAAAAAATTTGATAGGTTATGGTTTATTTATTTGGTCACAAATCAAAAAATTTATAGATCACAACTTTATTGATTACATATTTTCAAATTAGTTGGTCATAAATTATTTTTTAGCCACAAATTATCCAATTTTTAGGTTACAATTATATAGTTGGTTATAGATTAACCAAATAGTTGGTCACATACCACCACCACCACGATCACTTGCAACCACTACCACCAACATAGTCTAATAGTTAGTCACATACCACCACCATCCAACAAAAAAAATCTCAAACACCTCAACCATCACCACCACTACCACCAAACCACTATGCACCACTATCCCATTTGCAAAAACACCAATAAGACCATCTAATGGGCTACCCACTCCACAAACAGAAGCGCGACCACCACCACCACCAAATCAAATCCAAAACATCATAATCCCCTTTACCAAATCACAACCACCAACAATACTATAACACAACATCACATTGCCGCACATCCAACCATGATTGCTAGATTTGAAGTCGTACCAGACGTTTCAGAGATTCGACGTTTACAGCGTCGCCTATGAGCTCTGTCGCCTTTCGAGATGGAGAAGTGAGCTCCGTTTTGTGAAAGGTCTATTTGTACAAGTTCATTGTAAATTGCAGAGGCAACGAAGGCAAACTAAAAATAAGGGTTTTATGTTGTTGCCGATGGGGTGCGAAATTGGGAAAATTGTGAACTGAATGGTGGAGGTTATGAGTGGGGCGGATTGTTTTGATTGCAGGCAGCAACCATTGATGTGGTAGTTATGTTGCCGAAGACTTGAATATTTTGTCGGTTGTTGGGTGTTACACGTTGTAGGTGTCACCAATTGGATCAAACGATCAACAATGATGATTTTCATAATTGAAGAGTGTAGACAAATAGAGAGAGAAGAGCGAGACGGGGATGGAGAAATAATTTAGGCTTTGTAGTACGGTGGGGATGGGTGGGTAAAATTTATAATATTATTAATAAATTTAATTAATAAATGATTTTTTCTTAAATAAACCTCACACCTGATTTTTAAATTAGAAAACTTAAGTACCTGTTTATATGTAATTTCCTTAAAATATATTAATGGAACCCAAACTGGGGCTAAACTTAACATCTAAATCTTCCATTTTCTATTATTGAACTTGACATCTAAGAGTATATCCAAGAACTCTCTAATTTTAAAAAGTATATCTAGCTATTTAGAGAATAAAGATTTTTAAGCATTCTAAGAGGTTCTTCATATTTAACATTTAATTCTACTAATCCCAACAAATATTTATTATTTTTTCATATTTTTAACTTTCACTAACTTCTCTTCAAATTATCGTATTACTTTGCTCCGTTAAAAATTGAAATAATTTGAATGTGGCTAATTTACACAGTCTCTTGAAGTAAAATTTTAAAGGTTGACTATTTAAAATAAAGAAAATTTTATGTTTAAAGAGTCAATTGTATATGCTCTAATAAATATATTTTGGGAGTCATCACTGTAATTAAATGCAACACATTTATGAAAAATGATATTGTGAACATAATTACACTTCATTAAGTAGGGTGAGAGGACATCAATTAAGACTTTCTTTTGATCTTCATCATTTTAAAAATATATTTTTTTCTTTATTCTTTTCAATTACACATTCTTCAATAAAATAATATTACACACAAATTTAAATTTTTTTTTCTTATTTTATAACAACACATTCTGTATCAATTTACTATTTCAAAATGCATTCTTGCAAAAAAAAAAAAAAAAAAAAGGCTTGAACAAGCCCCTAGTGTCCACATAAAAATTAAATTTATTAAATTTGATATGCCACATCACCAGAGGAGATGAAATCTCCAAGTTTGAGAATTGATGTGCTGAAATTGATCTCGTGCACCTGGTGGTTAGAATAAAAACTTCCCACTATCACTGTGGATTGAAAATCAGGTCCGATTAATCTGAATTCCATTAGTAGGTGTGATAACATGAGTCGTTAGCATATTATCTATGGTTCCCCAATGCGCTAGACATTGTGGCACAACCAAGAATTTTGGTTTGAGGTTCACTATATCTTTGGTCATGATACTTTAGTTAGTAGCACCATGGTGGTTAACGGCACAAAGGCAACTAATTAATATCGGGATTTAAAGATAAATAATAAAGTTACCTATTTTATTCGGAAAACTCTAATAAGACAGTAAAAAGGTAATAAACTTCAAAGAAATTGTGTATTGAAATACAAATAAAATAATGAAGAAAACAAAATAATAATAATAATAATAATAATAATAATAATAATAATAATAATAATAAACCAACGTCTTATTAAAAAATATCAAATTCTGATAGTTTTGTGGTGCAATTTTGATATTTCTTTCTGTCGTTTGGATCAACCTCGGTTGTTGACATGTTCAGATATATCAATTTGTAATGGTGTATAATGTAATCTACCTAGTGATTTAAGTCATAGAAATTGTGGTTTAAATTAAATTAATGGACCGAAATATTCACACATATGAAAGCTATTAATTTGATACTCCATATTTGAGTACATGCCTATGGAAGTTTTTGTACGGGAATAAAAAAAATGATGGAATTGTATAAAAATGACGAACTATGCAATATCGAAGACTAAAAGGTTCAATTTTAAAGGTGGAAGATGTATTTGCTATAAATAATAAAGATTAAGAACTAATTATGAAATATTTCCAAAGATGCATAGGCTGAATTTGAAGTTTTGAACAAAACTTTCAATCTGTCAGAAAAAAGAAATTTGGGGACCTTAAATGTCAACAAAAATTGTTCGAGTACATGATTGTACTAGATGATATAGTTTGAGGACCGCAGACGAAACTTTTCCACCAAGAAATCGAGTTCATTAAACCAGAGGCCACTCAGCTCTATCCATGGTAAACCAAAATTAAATATGATTACTCAATGCTCGTTGAAATATTCAATGGATTTACCCATAAATCACCATAGTCAATATCATTTGTACGTGGTATATTGAATCATAGCCATGTCGTTAGAAATTTGTATTTTATAAAAAAAAAAAATTGAAGTTGAAATTTCCTCCAAATCATCTTCCTTCTTCCTCAAATTCCCCAAATCCCCCTCCTGTTTGATATTGTGAAGTTTAAAACAAAAAAAATCAGATGACAATAAGCATAAAGGTTCTACTATTTTGGCTTCTTAGAGATCTTTCTTCTCCAAATCCACATGATGCGTATGACTGTGCCGTCATCTAATGCAATTTCAGTTTCCGCTTCAGACTTGCCTCCTGGGGATACATGGGCCAACTCATGTTCTGAGTTAGCAGCTAAAACTCTAATCGGCGAAGTTCCCATGGTTAATAAGTCTCGTGTCTGGAATTCATCACACCAGTTGCTCTTCTCATCAGAAATCAGTAGAATTAATCGATCACCTTCTTCGCCAAAACGAGGAAAAAAACTGAATTCTTGCTCTGATCAACAAAATTGAGGATGTAAATTATGAACCATCCAAAATTATTGCCCCAATTTCATTTACCGCTCAAAGGAAGTAAGTTTTCATAGATAGAGAGATGATTTAATAAGTACCTACGTTTAGTTTACGTCAAGCACCGATGACGCGGTACACTTTGACCATCGATATTCATTAGATCTTATATATACACACACAATTTAAACTTATTTATGTTCCTCAAGAATTTTGGGTATGTGATTATTTATTTAAAAAAAGTCGAGCAACCTAAATTATTTTTGGGGATGTGAATTATAATCTCGGATATGGAATTGGGGAGGAAGGTGATTTGAGGGAGAAAGTGATTCCGGGAAGAAGGAAGTTAATTTGGAGGAGATTTCAATTTCTTTTTTTTTTTTTTTTATATGTGACGTAAAAATATTTGTCCACGTGCGCAAATGAAATTGACTTTGATGATTGATGGATAATCTAATTAATATTTCAGTGAGCATTGACTAATCAATTTAATTTTCGATGAACAATTAGTAACCATGAGTAAATTTCAGAGGCTACTCATTTAATTATATTTCTTTGAGGCTCATTCTTTTGAGAAAAATATATAATTTTAAATAATATTTTAGCATCATTTTAATAACACATTTTTTAATAAAAAAATATTAAAGTTAAATCCCATATTTTTTAACCATACGTTTGCCGTCGATAGGCTGTTCAGAAAGTCAATTTTTTCGCCAGGGCTCAAACAAGGGCTTAACGACAATTTGAGAACTCACCGTTCACTGCCTTCGCCGTCTTCTACCAGGTTCTAAATTCCTATTTATATCCATATTGATCCAATACTTTGTGTTCTTCCATATTATTTGTACCCTGTCAGGTAGATTATATACGCAGTAGCATCTATATATCGTATTTCACTAATTTGTTGGTCGAATTTCTGCTTTGGTTTTCCTTTTCCCTTTTTTTTTTTTTATGAAGAAAGAATGATGAGAAAGAAAAACAATATATACAAAATAAAACAGAACCATCTCCTCTCTCGACTTCTGTATAGACACCCTTCCCCATCATGGGTTAAACCAGTCCCCCTCTCTCGAGTCCCTTCCTGTCCAGCTGCCCTCTGCCATTGTCGGCGTTTTATCACTACAAGTCATAAAATTTTGAGCAACATATATTAAGTTACTGAAGTATTGATTAATATATGTTCTGCAGATAAAAGCCTCATAATAGTAAAAAATAAAAATAAAAATCAAGATATCAATTTTTTTTGGCTTTTCTGTCTACAATGTCAAATTTTCATTTATTATGTCGACAGAGGTGGATGAAGTAATGTTACTAAAAAGAAACAGAACTTAAACAGTCGCTATAGAGTCATTTTTGCAAGCTCTTTTTTTACATTCATCAGAATCATAGCGGTTGTTTCATCCACTAGGACCATCTTCTATATATAATTGAATTATTGTCAAATGCACAAAAGATTTTTGTTGAATGCTGTTTTCACAGATTATTTAAATGTGCCCACACGTGACTACAGCTGGTCCTCTTTTATGTCATAGATATAGCTCCGATTATTACATGATATCTCTTTATTTCTATGATCATTTTGGGCTATTATTGATGTTAGAAGTATACTATTTTAACACTGACAGTTGTATAGTTTTACAAATTTTCCTCTTTCGGAATATCCAGAAATGTATTAAAAAATATACCAAAATGATAACAAAATTCCATAATATATCATTACATAATATCTCTGTGTGACAAAATACTCTTTTAACACAAATTCCATGAAAGCACCTCAAACTGCTGTGACACAAATATGACAACTAAGCGTGGTCCTTGATTTATGCCCCTTCTCTAAGTTTATTTCACATATTTGCTTCTTCGCTTTGCTGTGACCTATTAATATTAGGCACAAGCAATCTCTAGTCACAAAGGGTCTTGCCATTATGTGGACTCTTCTTCGTTGTATAGGGGAAGAAAGAGCCTTTCAGCTTTACATTTGACTCTTCAATAAGGAGAAGAAGAAGGTAGAAATGGTTGAATTCTATAACTAATGAAATGTTCCGACTAGGGTTAGGATGACAAAAGAGGCAATGGTCAGAATGGAAAGTTACATGGTGTAAGAAGAGAGAGGAGAAAAAAAACTTAAAGATCTGTTTTTCACCTCCAAAATTTACATGTATAGGATGAATACTTTTGGCTTCTGTAGCCAGGGTTGGGTGTGCAGTTCACAGCACAATTTGAAGAGTCAAATCCACGAGTTTATGCCCTTGAACGTCTGAAGGGATAAAATGTATTTTAATGATATTCTAATGCACATCACACCACGTGTGAATACTGCACGATGCATTGTGAAGAATAAGCAATTGGCCATTTGCTGGTACACTTTATGGCATTCCTTAAAATTGATGGCATAAAACGGTGTATCAGTATGGAATTTTTGGAATTCAAACACTTCTTATAAATTATTAGAGTTGTTTTCTTTATATATAGAGCAAAATTGCACTATTGCAGGCAGACTCAAAATTGCAGCAACAGTAGCGGCAACAATGCGGCAATCTATCTCCATAATTTCGTTATCTCTGATTATCTTATTAGCAATGAGCTTTGCTAGTACTGAACGTGTAAATAAGTCAGAGGCATCCACAGGACTGTTTTGGTCAACCGCAAAGGAGGAGGGAGATCTCCTCAGGAAGGCACAAACCGATGATGATTCGTCGTCTTTGTTGTTGGGTGACAACCAAGAGGAACACCAATTGGACGGCGGCTTCTCTTCCCTCGAGGGAATGCTACAGTGGGCTATTGGTACCTTTCTCTTCCTATCTCTCTCTGTTGTCTACCTCCAATTCTCGAACTACTACTTCAATAAGCATGAAGATGAAAGTTGCTTGTTTTTAGTCAACCTTCTATCTGGAATTTAGAATAGATAATTTGCTTTATTCTACACCCTTATTTTCTGAATGGAGGTTTTGTTTTGATATTGATTTAGGGCATTCAGATCCAGCAAAGTTGAAGGAAGCAGCAGCAGATGTCCAGCGCTTGTCTCCAGAAGAGCTGAAGGCACGCCAGATGGGAATAAAGGTAAGGTGTATTATTTTGGTACCAAAGTTGTATCTGAAGTGTTCGTATTAAACACTAAAATTTCAGTTGGGGCTTTTCATATTTGGCCCTCATAAGAACTCCTTTCCTACTGCTTTGTCATATCAATGTTGTACTGTTATTGCCCACATCCCTGAAGACTGTTCCATCTTCCCCAGCTTCCCATTTTAGGTTCTACACTTTTAAAGCAATGCCTTTATCTCAGGTCTTACATTTTTAACTTACAAATCTGTATTCCTATCACTTTTTTATTTAAAAGCGTACTTACATTTTTCAAGAAATTGGTTCTTTATATGGCTCTTAAATTTATATAATCTCTTACCGATCCTTCAGCTATTTATCGGCCTTGTGCAAGTTTGCAATTGATATTTATCTACACTCTCACCTCTATCATTTCTAGGTTAGGAACTCAAATGATTATTACTTCTGTACTTTCTTCAGTTAATATATATTTCTAATTCCACAGTTTTTGTCCTGTTGCCTTTTGTACGTCTTTATAGGAACTAATGGAGAAATTAAAGATGCCTTCAGATGCACAATTGATGAAAACTGCAATAGATGACTTGAATAATTCGTCTCTGTCTCTTGAAGACCGACATCGTGCCCTAGAGGAGCTCTTGATACTTGTTGAGCCAGTAGATAATGCAAATGGTGCCATTTCTGTTCCCATTTACAAATTGTTATGTGCATCCTTCCAATAATGCTATACCTTTTTTGAAAAAAATAAAAAATAAGAACTTTCTAGTAATATTTTGTCATCTAATTTTTTGGTAAGGGTGTTTTGGTGGGGTGGGGTGGGGTGGGGGGAGCTCCCGTTCAGATTTTCTCATTGTTGCTCTTGTTCAGAGTTATTTTATTATTGCACCTTGCTGTTTTGTCCACCCTTATTGTTATCGGCTTTGTTGAAACAATATATTATTTTTACTTACCTCCATGGTTGCATGTACATATATGGAGTACTAAAAACTCGTGCAGCATTAGTTAATTCCCCACCTTTCATGCTAGAGAATGAACCTTGGAAGCCTCTCCTCTTGGTATTATTTGCATTTGAGATGGGTGCTTTATCAGCATTAGTAGATGAACTAGGCAAATAATGTCTTGAGTCAACTATGGATCTCGTAGTTGGTGTTACTCTACACCTCCATATCAGTGCTATGTTATGATCTAGTTAAAAATAAGTTAATAAGCAGAGAGCACCCTAGCGATCTTAGGTTGGCAGGCCCCTTTAGGCGATGTACCTCACACTGGAAAGTTTATTCATGAAACCTCACGTCATGCTAGCGCTACTTCATGACTAAAAGGGAGAGCATACTAGCAATGTGTTGGTACACTTGCAAAGATCGATGGCCAAGTGGCCATTTGTCTTTTTTGCATACTCTCGTGAACAATTTTTATTGAGACATTTTACCTTCATGTGGAGTGGCACTTCACCTCATGCTAGCTCTACTTCATGAATAAAAGGGAGAGCATACTGGCGATGTGTTGGTACACTTGCAAAGATTGATGGCCAAGTCGCCACTTGTCTTTTTTGCATACTCTTGTGAACAATTTTCATTGAGACATTTTACCTTCATGTGGAGAGGCTATTTGAGGCATAACACACACCCAAAAAAAAAAAAAAAAAAAAAAAACCAAGTCAGAGCATTACACAGTTGGGGCAAAAATCTACACTGTATTTACAGTCTACTTGCACGTTGCATCTTTTCTATGAGAATCTGAATGAACTTCTGTTATCAGATTTGCACAAACTTGGAGGCCTCACTGCAGTCATTGGAGAACTTGATCATCCTGACCCTGAAATAAGGACTATTTCGGCATGGGTTCTTGGTAAAGCCAGTCAAAATAACCCTGTTGTTCAGAAGCAGGTATCTCATTAGCATTTTCATCATTGTTGAAGTTGTTTTTTACACTGAATTTTGGTGTCTTTTCCCTGATTTTCAATTGCCTTTAATGTATGTTGGAAGTTATTTAAGTTGTAGAGGCATAATAAAATTTAAGGATCGCAGATTTTGGAGCTTGGGCCACTGACAAAGCTAATGGAGATGGTAAATTCTACATTCACTGAAGAAGCCATAAAAGCACTCTATGCTCTTTCAGCCTTGATCATAAATAATCCCGAGGGACAAGAGTCGTTCTATAGGGAAGCTGGACACTTGATGCTTCAGGTGATCTGATGATGACTGAATAAGGATTAGAATTTTTTGGGAACATATCTTTTGCTTCTGCAGTTACAGATATTGGTGACTGTTTTGTCTTGCAGAACATTCTGAGCAACTCTAGCACAGATATCAGATTACGGCGAAAATCAGTGTTTCTTGTGGCCGATCTGGTTGAAAATCAATTGGGTAGCAGTAACAAAGCGGTGCTGCCTTTTTTCAGCAACCAATTGTTCTTAAAGTCTGTGGTTGATCTAATAGCATCACCAGATCTTGATCTCCAGGAAAAGGTGTCTGTTCAGTTATATTAACCTTGTCAGAATTTGATAAATAAACCACACCTGTTTTGCATCCGTGTCTATGTCGTTGACACTGAAATCAAGGTACTTTTAGGCCTGTTTGGCAGGGTTTCTGCTTCTACGTTATGTAGAAGAGCTTCCCGAGGTTCAAAACACTTCCAGAAAATTATTCAAACAGGTTAAAAAGCAGCTTCTTAATCGCAAAAGTAGCTTTTTAGCATTTCAAAAGCCCTGCCTAATAGACCCTTATTGGTTCGAGTCAATACAAGTATGAAGCACATCTGAAAAATGCATTTTAACGGAAAACATCTCCGTACTAACACGTGCCAAATGATATGTTTTGAAATACGTGGTTTAGTATATTAGATTAAGTAAATTGATTGCATCACATGTTGCAGGCTCTATATGCAGTAAAAAGCCTATTGCAGCTAAGGTCTACGGAGGCTCTTGTCTTCAAGGAAGTATGTAAATTGGATGTGACATTGGAGACAATGAGGCAACAGTTGCAGCAATTAATGGTTGATGAGAATTTTAAAGAGTACGCAGTGGATGTAGAAAGTCTTAGAAGAGAAGTGGAGCTGATTTTCTTGGGAAAGCTCGATAAGGTAAGGAGGATATTGGATTAGCTAGCCATTTAATGAACTCGATTTTTGTCTAAAACTTGAATTGTGGCAGGTGGATACGCAAGTTCCAACATGATTAAGGACTCGTCCCTCCAGTTTTGGTAATCCTTGTCTGCTCTCTGCCTCGTCTCCGATTCTCACAAGTTATCTGTGTCGATCTTTGTAGTGGCTTTGAGTTGGATTTTTGTTTTACTTGGGTGAAAATGTATACCCCCTTTACTTCTTTGAGGATAGGCATAACTATATTAATAGATATATAGGGTAGGGTCTGAGAACTGGCTAAGAGACTTTGAACATAATTATGTTTACATGTTTTGCTTGTTAATGGGGCAGTTATTGTTGAACTGTAGTACTTCTGTGAATCGTTTTTAGTATTGCTACAGAAATAGGTACATTTATAACGAAGGGAACATTAGTCTGAACATTGTATTTATCTTTTACATCTGAAAAATCAGCCTTTTCAAATTTTCTTGATCTTTCCATTTTCCCCGTATAATGGATGTTAAAATGTGTAAATAGCATTTTCTCTAGATAATGATTCAACTTCTTTATCCAACTTTGGTTAATTCTTTATTTTTACTCTTTGTAAAGTATTGCACAATTTAAACCTTTGTAGAACGATAAGCTGAAGGAAAAATATACATAACCAACCTTTAAGAAGACACTGTCAAATTTGACAAATTTGTGGAATTCTTTCAAAAATCAAGTGATATTAGTTAAATAGGTCAAGGTGATAATATTTAATTATGGTCATAATTATTTACTAATCACAAATCATAGAACTCAACAAGTACAAAGACAAATTTTAGATTACAATCACATATTTTTATAGATTACAACTTATTTAGTGGTTATAAATTATAAAATTAATAGCCTTAATTGTTTTTTTTCACAAATTATCAAATTAATTATTCATAATTTATTTATTGATTATAAATTACTAAATTAATTGGTCACAACTTATTTTTCGATCTCAATTTATTAAATTAATTGGCATAATTATCCAATTAAATGGTCACAAATTACCCCTTCATTTTCCCTATACCCTCCATTGTCGACACCACCCAAAACGCGTTGTTGCCCCAGATTCACAAGTCGTTGCCACTACTACCACATCTTTCAATGCACTTCCATCACAACCATTACCTGCACATGCACATCCATTGCACCAGCAATCATAGATCATCACTGCCATTGCAAATTCACGCTTAAAGGTCGAGCCTCCACCAGCAAAGGGGGATAGCCATGCCAATCCAAATAGAGCAAGAGTGTGCCTGCTCTACCTTTCTTTCTTTATCTTAGACTTCGTTCTTCAAAGAGAATCATGTGCATTGCCCTACCAACACCACTTTACTATAACCTACGTCCATAAATAGCAAAAATGTACCACATAGATCCGCAACCTACCACTGCATATACATTGCCCAACCCCATTACAACCTATGTTACGTGCTTCGGATATGGATTGAGTAATAGGTCGATTGACGGATAAGGACCAAGGATCGTTCTTGCGTTGACGACCTATAATGGTGATATAGTTGGACACTTCGAGAGGTTCGAGGCATCCTTGTATTGGTTAATTCGAGTAAACCAATAAAACTCCTAAATCAACACAAGGTTGAAGACAAATTCATTTTTATGGTTTTATTCACTTTTCTCTTACTAATAAGTAGCCATTACAAGATACCCCTTTATGGGAAAAGTAAATTACAAGAGCAAACATTATTGTAATAAAAGAGCAATATGGAAAAACAAATTATAAGGCTAATCTTAATTGGAACTAAAAGAGAAATCAGGAAATCAGGAAATTAGACAATTATCTTGGCCAAGATAATTGTCTAATTATCCGTTACAACTCCTTGCCCCTTGGAAATTTCCTTGTCCACAAGGAAATAAGGAAATCGGTTATTGAAATCATCAAAGTCCTACCAAGTGGCATCAGCTGGAGAAAGATTCTGCCAATAGATCAACAATTCATATTTCCCTCTAACTTGCCGGGTTTCCAAAACTGCCTGAGGAAGTGGGTGTGGGACAGATTCTTGTGGGATAGGTGGCAAGGAAGTTGCAACAATGTCATGATCCCCAATGTTTTTTTTAGGAGTGAAACGTGGAAGACCGGATGTATCTTGGATCCTGGTGGTAATTCCAATTTATAAGCCACGTTCCCAACTCTGGCCATAATTTTGTATGGACCAAAGAACTTGGGGCTAAGCTTTAGGTTCTTCCGTTGAGCTAAGGACAATTGTCGATATGGTCTTAATTTTAGGTAGACAAATTCCCCCACTTGAAATTCCTTCTCTGAGTGTTTGGCATCATAAAACTTCTTCATTCTTTCTTGTGCCAACTTGAGATTGTGCTTGATATCCCGAATAACCACATCGCTTTCAAGAAGAAATCTTTCTACTGAAGCCACTCTTGCCGTACCATGGACATAAGCAAGAAGAGTAGGTGGTTCCCGCCCATAAACTATTTCAAATGGAGTCTTTTTTGTGGATGAATGGAAGCTTGTGTTGTAGGAATATTCTGCCCACTCCTTAGGCTTGTGGCTTGTAAAGCACCGTAAGTACATTTCCAACGTCTTGTTAACCACCTCCATTTGGCCATCAGTTTGGGGATGGTATGCCGAGCTAAAATTGAATTTAATTCCATTTAAGAGAAATAGATTCCTCCAAAATGAACCAGTGAACACCGGATCTCTATCGCACACAATTGATTCAGGAAGACCATGAAGCTTGAAGACATGCTCAAAAAAAATCTGAGCAATAGTGGTGGCCGAATAGGGGTGTTTAATGGGAATAAAATGGCTATATTTGGACAGTCGGTCCGCAACCACGAAAATAGTTGAATATCCCTTGGAAGTAGGCAAGCCATCAATGAAATCCATGGAGATATCTGTCCATATGTGCCACGGAATAGGGAGGGGACTCAACATACCCGCTGGTTTGGCTTGGTCAACCTTGTTTTGTTGGCAAACAGCACATGTTTGAATGAACTCCCTAATTTGTTGTCTCATCCCTTTCTAATAAAAAACTGCCTTGATTCGATGGAGTGTTTTGTGGAAACCCTCATGAGTGCTTGAATGAAATTACTTAATAATAGGGTTAAATAACGGTGATGAATAAAGGAGATAAATGCAGTTTTTAAAGAAAATCAAACCTTCCTTGAAAAACCATGGACCAACCGCCTCTCCTTTCTTGATCTTCTTCACAAGATCTTGCAGTTGAGAAGAATCAGCAATGTTAGATTTAATGGAATCCGCCCCAAGAAAGAATTGGTGAAGAGATGGCCATTATTTGATTTTCGAACTTCCTAGTGATCAGGGGCTGAATTTTCCTTCCCCTTTTTGTAATGAATTTCAAAATCAAACCCCAATAGTTTGACTAACCACTTTTGTTGAGCCACCGTAGTTATTGTTTGACCCAACAAATATTGCAAGCTCTTTTGGTCAGTGCGAACAGTAAACTTGGTGCCTAAGAGATAGGGCCGCCATTTTTGAACTGCCTTGACTAATGCAAGCATCTCTTTCTCATAGGTAGATAAAGCTAGATTTTTTCCATGCAATGCCTGGCTAAAAAATGCAATTGGTCGTCCTTGTTGCATGAGCACTGCTTCCAAGCCAATTCCTGATACATCGTACTCCACAATAAATTGTTGAGAAAAATCTGGTAATGCTAAAACAGGACCAGTTGCCATGGCCTGTTTTAATTTCTCAAAAGCTCCATTACCTGCTTCATTCCATTTAAAGGAATCATTCTTCAACAATTCGGTCAAAGGTTGAGCAATCATCCTATAGTTGTGAATAAATTTCCTATAATAACCGGTGAGCCCCAAAAATCCACGCAATGCCTTTAATGTGGTCGGTTTGGGCCATGAATTTATGGAGGATATTTTTTCGGGATCCATGGCTACGCCTTGTATAGAGATTATATGGCCCAAATATACAACCTCTTTTTGGCCAAATTGACATTTTTCCCGCTTAACAAAATTTTTTTTAGCCCTTAATGTATGAAAAACACGCTCTACATGAATTAAATGCTCATCCCAAGATTTGCTAAAAATAAGGATATCATCGAAAAATACTAAAACGAATTTTCGAAGGAAATCCTTAAATACCTCATTCATGACGCTTTGAAAGGTTGCTGGTGCATTCGTGAGACCAAACGGCATGACTAGAAATTCGTAGTGGCCTTCATGTGTGCGAAAAGCAGTTTTTTTGATGTCACCCGAGTACATGCGGATTTGATGGTACCCTGACCGTAGATCCAATTTTGTAAAAAATTGGGCCCCATGTAATTCGTCCAAAAGCTTATCGATGATGGGAATTGGATAGCGATCCTTAATAGTGATGTTGTTGAGAGCCCGATAATCTACACAAAGCCTCCATGATCCGTCATGTTTCTTGACCAATAAAACGGGCGAGGAATATGGACTTGTGCTAAGCCTCACCACACCGGTTGATAACAATTCTTGAACTATTTTTTCTGTCTCATTTTTTTGATAATGCGGGTAACGGTACGGTCTCACCGAAATTGGATTAGTTCCTTGTTCCAATGGATTTTGTAATCTTGGATACGTTGAGGTGGCAGTCATTGAGTCTCCATGAAAATATCCGACTAATGACTCAAAATGGCCAGCAATTCTGGATTTAATGTGCCCTGCTAATTCACTTGCTTTTCTCCAAGATTCAGGGAGTTTAATTGGAGCAAAAAAGCACGACTTCCCTTCTTTAACTGCTGCCCAAAATTCTGTCCAGCTAGGATTTTGTTTGAAGGCCCTCTATGCCCACGTAACTCCACCAATCAGCCCTCCCTAAGAAATCTCATCCATGATTCCCTAAAGTCAAAAGTAACATGGCCTAGTGTGTCAAGCCATTGGATGCCAAAAATTGCATCACAACCTTCCACTGGTAGAAGGAAAACATCAACTTGGAAATCAATTTTTTGGACGGTGAAACACGTGGATTTGCATAACCCTTCACTCTTCATTTTGTTGCCATTTGCCACTTGTACTAAAAATGCCCCTGGTTTTGTAGCCTTGATTCCCACTTTGGAAGCCACCTTAGAATTAAGAAAATTATGGGTGCTACCAGAGTCTATCAAAATAGTAATTGGGATACCCCCAATCTTGCCAAGTAAACGTATGGTTCTTGGATTTGACGTTCCCGAAATAGCATGGAAGCTAATTTCAGGTATATTGGTTTCAAGCTCTTCCTCCGCAATTACTTCATCCTCGGATTCCTCCGAAGAAGGGAATATGCCTTCGATGAAAAATAATTTCTTACATCGATGTCCCGGCGAGAATTTCTCGTCACAATTGAAATAAAGCCCACGAGATCTCCGATCTTGCAATTCTGTTGGACTTAGTCTTTTTATGACGGGGTTGTGTGCCCGTGTGAGTGATGCCGAAGGTATAGGAGAAGGCCCGGGAGTCGTGGGGGCCTTCCTAAACTCTGAGAGCCCACTTCTACATTGGTCGATAAGCCTTGACTCGTATAGGTGTGCAAGCCCAATGGTGGCAGATAAGGATACTGGATTGCATGCTTGGACATCAACACGCAAACTTTCCTTCAAGCCGCTAATAAAGCATCCCACTTGTTGTCCCTTGGAAAGAGATCCTACTCGGTGTAATAATCGGTCAAACTCCATTTGGTAATCACGAACACTCCCTGTTTGCTTAAGCTTCGTGAGATCTCCAAAAAAATTATGGTACCGCGATGGTCCATAACGAAGATGGAGTTCATATTTGAAGACTTCCCAGTTCACGCCTTCTCGCCTCGCCTTAAAACTTTGGTACCATAGTTGGACATCCCCATCCAAATGATACCCCGCCAATGGCAATTTATCTGCTTCCTCAGTTTGGTGAAAATCGTAAAATTGCTCCATACGACAATTCCACCCGATTGGATCATCCATGCCATTATAGCTTGGGAAATCTAACTTTGTTATTTTTGGTGCAGTGAATCCTCCACCCGCAGATCCTCGAGAGTTGATGTAAGAGGATCCTTCTCCATTCTCGCGTCCTTTGCCCGACCCTTCCTCCCGTTGATGGGAGAACATGGCGAACATGGATTCTACCGTTTTCTGGAGTGATTTCATCGATTGTTGCAACGAGCCTATTTCGCCCTCCAATTTATCAACTCGCCCTCCAATTTATCAACACGGGGGGTCGGACATGGCTGGCTCTGATACCAAGTTGTTACGTGCTTCGGATATGGATCGAGTAATAGGTCGATTGACGGATAAGGACCAATGATCATTCTTGCGTTGACGACCTATAATGGTGATATGGTTGGACACTTCGAGAGGTCCGAGGCCTCCTTGTATTGGTTAATTCGAGTAAACCAATAAAACTCCTAAATCAACACAAGGTTGAAGACAAATTCATTTTTATGGTTTTATTCACTTTTCTATTGCTAATAAATAGCCATTACAAGATACCCCTTTATGGGAAAAGCAAATTACAAGAGCAAACATTATTGTAATAAAAGAGCAATATGGAAAAAACAAATTATAAAGCTAATCTTAATTGGACCTAAAAGAGAAATTAGGAAATTAGGAAATTATCTTGGCCAAAATAATTGTCTAATTATCCGTTACAACCTATCACCGCAATTATCCGTTACTACCTATCACCGCACACACCACACGCTAGGAAGCAATCGTGAGCACACCACTGCACACAAAACAACATACCAGGTATAATTGTGGCGAAAAGTATGCGCGGGTATAATTTCCTCTAAACCCAAAACATAATCTAATTATAAAACAAATAATAGGCTTATAGCATCTGACAAAATATTTTCAGAAGCAACAAAAGGTTAGGGCCCAAATTTTTGTTTTAGTTTTGAATTCATTTTCACTTTTCTATTTCGATTGTCTTTTTAAGTTTGTTGGAAATGCATTTTGAAGTATCATTTTGAAAAAACTGTTTCTCAAAATAGAAAATTGAAATATATATATATATATATATATATATATAGCTACAAGATTCAAGGATGGATTTTAACAACTTCTTTCCTGCTTGTACATATTTTCAGCGATATAATCAATTTGATACATTATCTCATGTTTGTATAATTTGAGGATGGGTGGCTAATCTCTTTTAATTGGGACAAACGATGTAAGCTAGTTGGAACTTTTGATTTCAAAATTTGAATGTTGACTTAGGATTTTGTGTTGAATTTTAATCTTTAATTTGGTTATTTTTTCAAGATTTTGTTCGATTTATGAACTAGTTTTGAGTTCAAACAGAGATGTAAAATACAAAATTTAGCATTAACAATAAAAATTATGAATTTGGGTAGAAGGTACATATATAATTGTACAATTTTTGTGAGAGTGTAAATTTATTGAGATTGAATTTACTTGGATTTATTGGAATATGCATAGAAAGTTAGTTTTTAGCATGAAGTATGGTTGATTTTACTTGAGACACATTGTTAAATAATTTAGACGAATTTGATCGTCAACATAAGATGAAATAATTTTCATAACTTGATAGACGAGATTAAACATACATAGAACACATCTTCTTTATCAAAATTTCCTGCAGCTTCAATTATTGAACATGGAAGTTATGTTAAGTTTAAAATATAGTTTAATAATAAACTAATTCTGTGTTAATATTATCACCAGATCAAGGAACTAGTAGGATTACTTGGGTTATTAGACAGTAACTCAGGTTTTAGGGAATGATCTATACTTCACTATTATAATACTTGTTATGATGTCTTAAACTTTCAATTTTGACAAAAATATACATAAATGGCCGATCCAAAAAATCATCTGACGCTCAAAGACATGCTATGGCCATGAGTACTAAACCTTGAATGGAGTTGGGAGGTATTGGGTATCAAATCGAGAAGCAATCGAGGTGAATATATAGGTTGTGGATCAAAGCCGGTTGGATTGGTTGTTTGGTAGAGAAAGATAACATTGGATTGAGTCCGAAAAATACCGTTTTGACCATCATCGGAGCAAGCTTTCCTGACAAATTGGTATCAGAGCTTCAAGGTGGTGGATTTGACTTGTGAAATATACCAAAAAGTCTAGAAAATTGGCAAAAATGAAGCAGAAATTAGATAAAAAAATTGTCCCGAAAATTGCCCCAAAATAGCATCTATTTTTTTTGATTTTCGACCAATCTAGAAAGCGTTTGGTGAAATGGAGACCACCAGCGTGAAGTACGGGTGGAGGCGTGATCGACGTGTGAGGCTGTCCGACAGCTCATGCGGTGGCGAGTGAGGTCCACTAGTAGAGCGTATGAGGCATCTTCAGGCAGTTTGTTCCTAACATCATTTTAGACATTTTGATGTTGTTTGTTTTCTGTTTTACATTGTACAGTGGAATCTGGATGGAGTGGTTCTTCGCACGTCTGGGATTCGATTGTGGATCATTGATTCCTGCGATTGTTGGAGACTTTAGGACGAATAGTGATAATTCTAAAGTGATGAATTTGAATCTCTACATACTTACAGATCTTCAGACATGGTCTGTTAGGTATCATTTTTTTTGCCTTTTATTATTGCAGTTAAAACTATTTTGTAGAGTAATTATTTATTTTTTGTATTAGATGTCATCGTGTGGGTTGACGTTTGGTTTGAGGTTACCGTGAAGGGGTAACCATTGCCTGTTGCTAGACCTAAGAATTATTTACCTCAAATTCTTTGTGAATTTGTTGCTAGTGTTTTTTACACTGTTAGAATTACATGTGACCTTAGGTAAGTCTATTTTACGATTTGTGTGAATTATGTCTATAATTTGCTTGTGGTTATTATTTGGTACTGATGGCATGTATAGGTTTAAGGCAAGTGCAAAAAGTAAGATGTGTTTTAACTGTGGTAAATTTTGGACATGGTAAAAGAAATTGTCCTAGAAATGATAATAAAATGAAAGATAATGAGAAAGGTGAGGCAAATGTTTCCATTGGGTTGAGTGATGACCTGTGCAAAGTTTATTGAGAGTAAATCTAGTTACTACATGTGCTTCTGCGTGTAATCCTTTCTGAATTTGTGATCACTTAATTATATTGCAATGTTGATATATTATACTTTCAATA